AGCCAGAATAGTTTCAAAAAGTACCAAATTTTGAAAGAAGAAATGTTTTAAATTGGATGGCAGCAGAATGTTTTACAAATATTAGCTCAACAGCATGTTTGCCATGCTATGTAGTCTAACTGCTGTCACTTCTTCTATTCGTTTTAATAGTGTAGATAATTAATTTAACAGATACACTCTGAATTGTAGGCAGGCCTTTTTAGCACCTGGACTCTTTAACTGTAATATCCTGCTGTAGTAATATCTGCACACATCACCACAGTGTGGCATCCAAATCTTGTTTTTATCATTCAGAATTAATGGAGACTTCACAGACACACAAATTTGAAAATATTTAATTTGATGTTTTAAATTGTCACAAAATATCATGGGGTAGATGTGGCAGCTGTTTTCTTTTTTCTGTGTGGTCTAACGTTTGGGTGAAATTACTGAGAATCGATCCCAGGGACTGACTTTTGATTAATGCGATAATAAAAACATTTTTACAGACATGTGTCAAACTTCAGATGAGGAAATCCAACAGCAACTAATAAAATGTGAAATGCTGTGTCTTTGTGAGCCAAAAGCAACTTTGTAAGAGCACGATATTCCATGTTTCTGTGTGGCTTTCCCCTTTAAGGACCGCCTAACGCTCGAAAAGCTGACCAAACTGAAACAGCCCTGTCACGTGTACCAGTGTGTAAATTACTCCAGCAGTGTATTCAGAGTGTCTGTCCCCAGTGGCATGCAAGGACAGGATGATCGTGAGGAATGTGTTCAGAGCTGCGAACTGGATGTTTGTCAGGCTAACTACAACACTGCAGGATGTTTGATAGCAGAACACACACACCAGCACTAAAGTGATGTGTTCTTAACACACTCGGTGTCACGCTTTGTGGAAGTGATGACAGAGGTCCCCCACAGGCGCTGCCATGGAAAAGCTCTCCGCTCCTCTTATAAATTAAAGACTCAGGGAACAACCGCAAACTGCATAAAACACACTGACGTTTAACAACAAAAGAGTCAGACAGTCATTCATAATAATAATAATTCTATTCTAGTTCATAACTTTATTGTGCTTCTTTTTTTCTGTTATGCTCAGACAAATAATGTATCACCAGTTTCCTTCAGACTGAGCGGCAGCAAGGAGGGAGATGACAAGAAGCCGATCCAGAGCTGGCCCTGATGATTGATAGCAGGGAGAAATGTGGTGAGGTGCCACTTGGGGAACTACTATTTTTTTTTTTTCCCTGACTCAAACACAACACAGAGACAGCGAGCAGCAGACCCATCAGAAAACTTTAAAGCTTAATCCATCAGAGCAGAACTGACAGACTGATGCGAAACAGGAATAAAAGGAGAACACAGGGGGACAGAAAAAAGGAGATATTCATGCAAACTCACACTGGGGTCAAATCAGAAGAGGATAAAAGTTCGCTGTGCGTCCCTCAGATACTGAACCCAGGTGAAACGGAGTAATGCAGGCACAACATTCACAACAATGGCCCAGATAAACAAATAGAATACACACACAAACACACACAGGGTCCAATACAAGGCTTATATAATGTATTTTCCACTAACACGGTAACTGCACACTCATCTTCCCTGGGGTCAACTCTGCTCAGCTGGAGGCAGCAGACAGGAAGGAGGATTATCGTGATGCACTGACCATCCTTATCAAGGTCCGCAGGTTGTGCAGAACCAGAACAGGGTCAGATGAAGACACACAAATGTATTCATCCTTGCAATGCAAACACACAACAAAGGAAGCCAAAAACACATCCTGTTTTCAGACTTTTTCACACACACACAGAAATAGGCGGATAATGTACAGTGGCTGCTCTCTGCCTTCTTTACTCATCACATTTCCAGGGTCATCTGCTGTGTCATCAGCACATCCCGCTGGCCTCCAGCACATAACATTCAACATCTCTCGCTCTTGCTTTCTGCCTGCAAGTGTTTCATAAACTCTCAACACAAAGGGCGGCATGGGATCATGTTTCTGTGGCTGAGCGTTGCAGCTCCGTGTTTCATGGTCAATCACTTCCTCTATAATACGCCTCCCTTATGTCAAGCAGGCAGGCTGAGAGTCAGAAAGTGAGTTAACAAGGTGGGAGATGGTGAAACGAGAGAGGAGGCCATGTTTTATGTGCGTCACCCTTTTAAAACCAAATGCGTTTTCTCACCTTTGATTGCAACGTTGATGCTCAAGCTAAAAGAAAACACTGTTTCTCCTATATTTAAGTGATGTCATCACAACTGACATATGGCTCTACATGTGTCCATGTTCATGTGTCCATGTTCAAGCTTTCAATTTCAAATGTTCAAATAGCAAAAAAAGTATTCTAGTGTTATTTAAATATTTTTCTGATGACTTTTTTTATTTGTTTATTTAATGTGCAATTTGAGCTACATTTGGTCATTTCAAGAGACCACAGAAGGTAGAAAACAAATAGAATGATTTTGAAGGGGAGAAAGCAATGGCATGAAGCTGAAAAACAAAAAGTGTAACTGAACATCTAAGCCTTGAGAGCACACAATTATTTCTCCTTTTTAAGAACACTTAAAGCATATAGATATAGTTTTATAGGCTCCGAGGCATCTTAGCTTTGACCACTACCACATTTTGCCACATTGTCTTCCTTCCTATACCGGAGGGCTGAGGCCATAGCATGCACAGGAAGGAAGGAGGGCAACCATGCAAAGCTAAATAATGCAATGCCTCAGTCTCACACATTATGACCTAGTAAATGGCTGGTTATACAAACACTCTGATGCTCTTGGGTTGCATCTGACAGCTCAATCAGCGGGATGAATTGACCAGCCAGCATGTGAAGTCATTTAGTCTGCTGTTATCACCGTGCATACGCTCAGCTCAACGTCTTAACTCTGTGAAACTCCAGGGAAATATCCCTCTGTGGGGTGGGTGTATCTTCCTATTCAGGAAAAGCTTTTGGGGCATCTCTAGGGGACGGCATACTCTAAACTGAGTTAATTAAACCGGGTGTTGTCTCCAAACAAAATGTGAATTGCTTAAATAGATGTGAGAAAATGGGGGTAAGGGGCAGTACTTATTATGGAACTCCACAAACTGACTTTGTCTTTTGGCATCCTGTCGGCCTGTGTGACAGCTTTAAAGAAGGCTAAATGAGTGAGACCCCCAGTGCCCCCCCCTTTTTTTAACAAATTACTGGCTCACAACAGCCTCGGTACAATGTTTACATAATTTGATGGAGAAATGTTAAGGTCTGTTGTCCATAATTAACAATGGCTCGAATAATTTTGCATCTTTTAAATACATTTGCAAAGAGCAAAGCAGAGCCCAACTTCAGCACAGGTACACTGCGTGTGTCAGAAAACATACAACAGCCTAAACATTCATGTCACATGTACAAAGTATGCAACTCACAGCCCCGCGAAAAGCCCTGTGTGCGTCCCACCCTACCTTCTGTGTGGCAAGTGGAGGACAGGATGGTGCTCGGAGGGCGGAAGAGGTACGGGAGATAACGGGAAAAACATTTCATCTTCTCCGATGCTTGCCGCTGGGTGAAGAGCGTTGCGTTGCAGGCTCCACATCCGCACTGCTGCCGCGACAGCCTGCCAGAGACGATTCAGTGGGGTGCGGGAGGGGAAAAAGAGGCTCTATGTCCGCGACGCAGGGGGCTATGACAGCATCACTTTTTCGCAGGCAGACAGCAGGCTCAACTACAAGTGCGCGCCGCCCGGGGAGCCAACAGCGCACGGTGGCGGCGCGCCTCCGCGTCCCTGGCCGCGGTTCACTCCTTGTGTGGCCGAGTTGTTTAAACGGGATCGCCGCTGCCCTCACGGCTGGGACATCGGCGCAAACGTGGTATCCCGTCGAGAACACCCTCCCGTATTTGTTTGTCAGCTGCTTTGAGTAAACGGAGATATGACAAACAGTGGCGAACAGAGGCACGAACTACATGAATCATAAACAAAACTTGTCTAGCTTACTGATCAGGTTATTGGTTAATTATATTTGGCGCCATCTTATGGTAATATTTAAATTAACAGATAATCGTCGCAAAAACAAAACTCTTAAAATCAGCATGTTTATCCCTGATAAGTCTCGTTTTTTGTTTGCTTAAAAGCTTCTGTACAATAAACACATTTTTTTTTGTTTTAAAAATAATAATGGTTTTGTGTCAAAATTACCTCATTAGTAGAATTAAAGGGCTGGAACCAAACTCAGCAAAAGAAGGCATACAGAATACATATTTTTGTTTTTGTGTTTCATGTTTTCGGTGGGCAAATGTTTGTCTCTTATCTGTCCCACGACATCTCGCGAGACTTGAGTGTGAACTAATGCAAGCGGAAGTACTATACGAGTCTCTTTTCCGCCGGCCATAGAGGAGCAAACGGCAGGGTAAGGTTATCTGGCAGAGAAAATCGCCAAAGTTATCGCTATCCATCCTCCATTCAGTGTAAATGTGAGACAGTGTTTAATCCTGAACACAACCTGAACATCAATACAAATAAGCAAACTGCAGTATTGATCCCATTTTAGAGATGGATTAATAAAAACACACTGCTAATATTGAAGCTATGTAGGATCGGCCATATCCGCATGTCTCACAACGTTAGCAAAGTAGCTACACACCATGTGCAAGCGGTTAATATTCAGATTTCCAGGCAATATGTTGTTTTAGAATATCCCTCATCACCCTTTTATGTTATTAAAAGTACCCTGTAAGTCGTATACATCTCTAGTCAGTCTATGTAATGCTAGGTCCCTAGCAGATTCGTTAGCTTAGCAGTTAGCCTTATTAAACTAACTGACAGAAGGCGATTATAATGCTTCGTATGTTGTATGATTTAGTATGAATCACTGTTGATGCAAAATTGCCCTATGTTAGGTTTGTGCACATTATGGACCAATTTGTAGTCAACATACCTTTATGATTGATTAATCTTTTGAGAGACTCAAGATCTGTTGAGTGGCATTTGACCTAAAAAAAAAAAAGTAAACTTTTATTCTTGATATGTTCTTTACTTCAGCATCATGAAGCTGAATCCATTTGTAACATCCTCCCGCCGCAAGAACCGCAAGAGGCATTTCAATGCCCCCTCACACATCAGGAGGAAGATCATGTCTTCCCCACTCTCTAAGGAGCTCCGCCAAAAGTACAACGTGAGGTCCATGCCCATCCGCAAAGATGATGAAGTCCAGGTACTTTAAATTGGGTTGCAGTAACGCTTTTGCAGTGGGTATGTAGAATTTGAAATTCATTGACCTGATGTTGTGTTCAGGTTGTCCGGGGACACTACAAAGGCCAGCAAATTGGCAAAGTGGTCCAGGTCTACAGGAAGAAATATGTCATCTATATTGAACGCGTGCAGAGAGAGAAGGCCAACGGAACCACAGTCCACGTCGGCATCCACCCCAGCAAGGTAAGACAAATGTAGCGAAGCTCCTCTGCTTGTTTACACACATCTGCCCAGGTAGAGGCAAGGCTGCTCGCAGTGTTAAGCTATCTGATATGCCCACCTATGGAAATAGTTTGCATAGGTTTAAAGAAGGTGGAAATATTGTCCTGCAAAGCCTTTTGTTAATGTGTCTTCAGAAGTGGTGTTGAGTGGAAAGGTTCACGGTCACTATACTGGACAGGTTTCTCGTCATTTATTATATACACATGCAAACATTCAGATTAGTTTAATTTTGCAGTTCAGATTTAATTTTTGAATACATCTAACATTTTTAGCTTTGATAACATTACAGAAGAAAAATGTAATCTCTTGTCATCAATTTGTTGTTAGTTGTTGACTGCAAATGGTTCATATCATGTTCGTTCACAGCTAGTTAAAAACAATGTTCCTGGAATGTTACACGAGTCTTACAAATGTAATGTGGTAGATAATAGACTGTGTTGACTTGTTGTACTTATGTTGATGTTTTCGCACAGTGGTCACCTGTTAAAAAAGTTAATTGAGGAAAAACTGCTAGTAAGTGCTGCTCGTCCGACCTAAAAAAGTTTACACATTGTTCCAATCATTAATTGAAATTGAATTTGTACCTCTGTGGGAGTGAGACCTTTTAGCCACTTTAATAATACTTGGGTGTTTTGATGCCGGATGTAATGCATTTAATTGAGATGTTCATTTAGTATATTTAATTTGCCACAGGAACTTCATGTTAAGTCTTTGTACGTTTTCACATTTGAGTCTCCCTCGTGTCATATTAAAGACAGCTTTAAGTTCAGACTTCTGACACTGAGGAATCATTGTTAGGCAGTGAGCTTAAAGTGTTTTTGTGTTCCATCACCAATATTGATATCTTAGTACAATGAAAATTCAAACATCTAACTGTACACAGAACACATTTCAGAACAGTATTGTTTCCAATGTTTGCATCTAGTTTTTTTATCCTCTGTTTGACGGATGCTTCATGGAAACATTGATTGTGGTGTAATTTTTTCTTTAAAATTTTAAATTTTGTGGCCTATTTTGGCCTGTGCAGTTCAGTGTGTTTGCTAGAGAAAACAGGAAGTCTCAAAAGCACAGTGTCAAAGACCTGAGCTGAACGCACATAATTTGATGATGTACCCTTTTTGAACCTGTGCCAGATTCTGTTTGTCTGGTCACAATCGGCAGCAAATCTGTGAGCTGCTCCGGTGGTTCTTAGAAAAATGTTTGTGGTAGTTTTCCATGCAGCGCAGTGTCTATTGTTCACTTTGATTAACTGTCCTCTTGTGTTGGGGTCGGCACCAACCCATGTTTATAGGTTTACCATTAGAAGTACACAAGGGGTCAATACTAGAGGAAGGTTAATATATCGTGTTCAGATTGTTCAGTGTGCTTAAGCCCACAGCACTGTCACCGGGATACCTTTTTTTAGGCTGACCATTCAAAGTTTGAAAGTCTTTACTGCACGTATTACAGAAATTTCTGAAATGGGATTCCAAAAGATTTTTCCGTTGATAAACTGATTGTTGCTGCTTCGATTGAAGTTTCCGTGTTTAGGTTTTGTGAATTGCACCAGGAATACTGTCCTACTATTGTCTGTGGTTATCTGTCAGAGTCTTATTCACACTGAGCCCACCTCAATCATTTTAGGACTCAGGTGTGGATACCGGTAACTGTCTGCCAGGTGTGCGACTTTGCCACAGAAGGGAAAGGCATCTTCAGAAACTACTCACATTTGTTTCTCTGTTTAGTGTATGGAACCATAGTCAGTACAGCAGTTTTTAAAGTCATCTTACTTATCACTCAGAAGGGTTCCGAACAAAAGTCTACTGGCTATTTATAACAGCTGTCCCACCTCTGCATCGAGCTGGCAAACATCTTACGTTATCCTGTCAAACACATGACAAAGGAAACACTTTAAGATGTGGTCAATGCCTTACAGTAGCTAATAATCTCGGATCTAATTTGAGTTTTAAGTGTATGCATAAAATGTGAGTTTTGTGTAATACCTTTTGGACCTCAGAAGGATGTTAATTAGAATTAAAATCTTGCATACATGCGTTTGCCAATTTTTCTTTTAGAGTAACTTATAACTATCCTGAATTGTGTATATTTTGAGCTTGGTTGATCTTTCAGTGGTTTTCTGTCATGTTATTGATGCATATCAATAGTTACCAGCAGTTACCATTGGTCTTTGTGTTCTGCAGGTGGTCATCACCAGGCTAAAGCTGGACAAGGACCGCAAGAAGATCTTGGAACGCAAGGCCAAGTCCCGTGCTGATGGAAAGGAGGGCAAATACAAGGAGGAGACCATTGAGAAGATGCAGGAGTGAAAAAAATCTTTTGCTATCAATAAACTGTATAAATGGAAACCTCTTGTTTTCTTTTTATCCCTTTTTTCTGTAAGGACATTTATGATGCAGAAGTTGTACTTGTGTTTCATTGTTTAAATGTTTAAAGGGCTGAAAGCTTTTTGCAATGATTGGTTTAAGAAAAACCAACAGATACTGTCTTCTAATTTTTCTTAGAGAAATAAGATATACAGGGAGAAAACTAGCTATTTCACAAAAACGCCATAGATTGAACATCCATCGTTGAATGTTGGGCTTTGATGTGAACATTGATCAGGTGGTCTACAATAGCCCAATTTTATAAAAAGAAGAATTAATGGGCTTTGGTTTCACAACTTGCCTTCTGATTTTCCTGGCAGGATAATTAGTGTAATGTTGCCAAAGGAGAAATAGATACTCGCAACCATCCCTGAAGTAAGAAAATGAATTATTCAGTAATGTAGAGAAGCTTTATGAAATAAAACATGATGGGTTGTACGGACCTGTGCGGTAAAATCTGAAATACAGCAGACTTTTGGACATGTACAAGATGTGTCATCTGAACATATGGGGGCTGGATCAGACTGCTGTTCCAAACAGGTTTTGGTGGATTCTGATTTGACACTTAAAATGCATAAAGCACGATGAACCAGAAAAATTAATCAGGCTCAGAAATAACAATAAAACAACGTCTGTGATGCAGTATTTGCATATATGTTTTAGCCTGAAATGTGACAGTCACACGGGACATTTTTCCCCTGCTGGATGAATCCAAACATAATAAAGTAGTAAACGTTTTTAGTTGCCTTGACTCCAGGACATAGACGGGTCCAGCTCACACCGGCTGCACTTCCTCTCTAGGTCATGTGATTCTGAGTTGCCTTTTACTAGACGTCGACGGGTAGACTTTTTTTGGCCTCAGCACAGTACTGAAGTCGCCTTAATTTTAAAATCGTCGCTTCTAAGGCATCGTAAGTTTTGTTTAATAAGCACACGTTTGTCGCCATGGCGGATCAGGGATTCGCAATCACCATTTCGGTCATGACGCTGTTTTGGGGACTTATTGGAGGAGTTGTGCCATGGTTCATCCCCAAAGGACCAAACAGAGGGTGAGTTTGTTAGCTCCGTAGCCCCCCGCTGGCTAAAACAGGCTAACTTATCGCCATGTTCTTATTTTAAATGTTGTTTTATAGCTTTCTTGTCCGTGTCTGTGTTTTTATTTTGAAGTCAAAGTTTGTTAGCAGCATTTCTAAGTCCACTCGAAGAGTAAAACAAATGCTGAACTTGTCCCTGGTGAAAGTTCGGATTAGCTAAACGAAGCTAATTGGTCAGAACTTTTTGAGTGAGGACATCTTAGTCCAATTTCAAAGTTTAGATAAAATCATTAACTTCCGTATTGAAATTGACAAACGCATAAACGTAAACACCTTTGGAAAATGTGACATTTAAGCAGCTTCCGTTTTGCCACTTTGTACCATCACGAGATCACGTCGTTTCTGTCCCCTTTAAACACCGGCGGGCGACATGTGAGGTATCCTAACTCATAGTTTTTTCTGCCTTATTCCCACAGGGTTATTGTCACTATGCTGGTATTGACTGCAGTTTGCTGCTACCTCTTGTAAGTATTTCCATCCCGGATATATAAACCTTCTCTTATAGGCTGTTCTACACTTGGAGCATCACATTGTACACAAGCAAAATCACGCATGTCATCATGGACAGATGTGAGGGCAAAAAAACCCATTTTGGAACATTTGTTCTTCTGGGGACTATATATTTTTCCATTCCCATGTTTTTCTCGAATGGTATTGGTTTTGTTATTCATTAGTGTTTGTTTTTGCGCTTCCATTTTCGGTTGTTTGGTCACGTTTTGTGAACGTTTGTGTGTTTTTTTTTATCTCCTCGTCACCATTTTTTCTTTTGAAACATTTAATTTTTGTCTCTTTAATCAATGTATTATTGCTTTCTGAGAGAAAACAATGCTTTTAACTCATATCTGTTGCATTTTAGTGAGGAATTATCTACATTGACAGTTCACTGCTTGTGTACAGGTTGTGTATTGTAGTGTTACACGTTGATGGCCAGAAGGGGGCAGTAGAGACAAGACTGCCCTACAGCCGGTCCTCTGACTCTTTTAGGCATGTGCCCCTTAGTGCAGAATAAACCCTCCAACTTTAAGACAGTTGTGAGCAGTGTTTGTGCCTGTGGGTTGGTAATCCAAATTGCTGAGATTTGATGTTCTGAGGTGATCATCCTGTTTTCTATCCCTCAGCTGGTTGATAGCCATTCTGGCCCAGCTTAACCCCCTGTTCGGACCCTCCCTGTCCACCGACACTATTTGGTATCTGTACTATCACTGGCCTTGAGCTTGCGCTCCCTGTACTTCCTGCTCTAGAGGTAAGCATTGCTCTTTTCTTTCTTTTTTTCCAGATTTGTTCTGCAATTAAACATCTTTCAGCTCATTGATTTATTTAGTTGTACTTCTCTGTTTGTCTCAGCTTCAGACCACCTGACACTGCAGTGCCCCAGAGGATGTTTTATGGCTCCAAAGAATCATTCCTTCCCAAGTACCTGAAAACACTTTTGGAGTGATGACCGAACCAGTGCCTTATTTCTAAATGATTTTCAAAGGACTAAAAGATCACACCGATGTGCTTTACTATAAATTAAAAGCCACCTTTGGTCTTGTTTATATGTTGTGTATTTTGTCTTAAATGCTATTGTCAATATAAATTACAGTTTAATAAATTATGTGGTGTTACACATGGTCTTTACTTTGTGTGTTCATGTTGTATGTGATCTATTTTATAGTTTATTGATGAATTAAACAAACTCAGTAGTTAAGTACCTTTATACTTTGTTTTTATGGTAAACGGCTGATGGTCCACCAAAGTGTTGCTAAATCGCGTAACCCGTGGTAAATAAGATGCGTTGTTTTTTTTTTTACATAAATGGCATATATCAGCCACGGTTGAAGATGCATATGTTATTTACTGTTTTACATGCCGTCTGATTGTATTTATTGTTTATATCGTAAATTTAATCTTATTTGTCGACAAAGCAATGACCTGGCACCACCTCCTGCTTTCCGTAGTTTTCGCCGGCTACGTTGGCAATATGGCGTCCACAGACGTTCACGTCCAAGTGTGTGAAAAAGAAATTCTCAAATATGACTTGGAACTCAAAGCTCTTATCCAGGTGCGAATATCTCTGTGGTAAGACTACAACACGTGTCGTTAGGACACACTGTAATTTGAGCTTGTCACCGAAAGGAATTGTGTTTTTTTTTTATCCTGCCGGCCTCGAAGCAGCAGCAACAGGACAGCAGAGACGACGGTCCGAGGCGCTGTCAAACTGGGCTTCCCTTACTTCTGCTATTTAGATTTTATCGTTTTATTTAGACTAACTGAATTGAAGCGGACTGTCGAATGTGCGTAGGAACAGAGAGAAAGAACGGTGGTGTGCTCCACCGAGCAGCAGGTGTTTTGTTATGCAGCTGTCGGAACGGAAGTGTTAACTTTAATATTTTTGTTCGGTATTTTCAAATTACTCGTCTTCAATCATTTTCACTTGTATCCGGTCTTCATGTCGTGCTTATACATGGCATGTTATTTTGTTTTTAAACACCAGTCTTTTTTTATATTCAGCAAACAATCTGACCTTTTATGTGATCCACTTTTTAAACTAAGATAATTTACCCTGCTTTTGGACATATTGGCATTTTGACTTCATGGATCTTTCAGATGTACTTTTTGGAGCTGTGTGTGGCATATTTGCTTTATTTCACTTCTTTAAATTGAAGCATTTAATTATCAGAATTATTCCAGAATTATTCATGAAGAAATCTTTCAGAGATTGCAGTTTTTTTTTATATATGACCCATATAACTTCTCGTTTTGATATTAATTTAAGAATATAAAAAATGTGTTGATGTTATGATTATATTACCTAGTCAGTGTCCATTTTGGAGGAATAACATTTACTATCAGAACACTGGTTATGTCTAACTACGATACCAAATTTATTATCCCCTTGTCTCAACAGGATATCAGAGAGTTCAACGGTCCTCAAAGCGAGCTGACAGAGATAAACTCAGATGTGAAAAACAGTTTTCAAAACCTCCGAATGAAAATTCAGGTGAGAGCCATTAGTATTGGGTCATCTTGCAAAAATAGCAGGTTGTAAATAGCTCTGCGTGATGAACTTGCTCCATTGTTTAAACTGAAGCAACATAACGTAGGCCTACGTCTTCTCTGCTTCTCTGCTTCTCTGCCAGGACCTGGAACAGATGGCAATGGAACAAGACAAAGAATCAGACAAGCAAGCTTTGATTAGTCAGGTAGAGGGACACAAAAAGCAGATGCTGAGGTAATGACTTTTAGATAATTAACTGTGCCTGCATGTTTCCAGAAATAAATCTGTCCTTATTTCTTTGGTTAAATTGTTGTCTACATTTGTGTGGAAATACAGGACTAATAAAGCCTGCTTTGCGTGTGTTGAATCTACTATCCAAGCTTTTTTAACATTTTGATTTGGGACTTTTGCAGTAACCAGACAGCGTGGAGGAAAGCCAACCTCGCCAGTAAACTATCCGTCGACAAAATGGAAAAGCAGGCGCTGCTCAGCGGGGCCGATGACGCGGTGAGGCAGAGGTGAGCCCACAGCGCTTATCGTCGAGAGTATCTGTAAACAGCACTCTACCGCATGCTCTTTTAATGTCATATTCAGAGGAATGTGTTGTTTTGACACCTTCCTAAGCCTTTTCTTTCAAGCGTTTCATTTGAGCTGCGTGTCATTTTTGTGTCAGGAAGATGACCAAAGAAGGCCTGGCCCAGACCAGCAGCAATATCACGGAGAACCTGATGAGCATCAGCCGAATGATGGCCCAGCAAGTCCAGCAGAGCGAGGACACCATAACCACTCTAGGTCAGTGAAGTAAAAACCTGATGCCACGTCTGAAATCCTAACGATCCTCCTCACGGCTCTCATGGAACACTTGAAATATGATTGTTGGCTTAGAGTTGTCAGATGGATTAAGTTAATATTGTTGGTTCTGTGCTTGTTTCCTGAACATGACTGTTCTAACCTGTTTTGTTTTAATCCATGCATCCTGTGGGTGCATGCATATGTTTAACACTTCCTTTTTCATTTAAAGCGACTTCATCAAGAACAGTCCAAGAAACAAATGATGAATTTAAGGCCATGACTGGGACCATACAGCTCGGGAGGAAACTCATCACCAAGTACAACCGCAGGGAGCTGACCGATAAACTGCTCATCTTCCTGGCCTTGGCTCTTTTCCTCGCCACGGTCCTCTACATCCTGAAGAAGAGACTGTTCCCCTTTCTGTAGACCAGGTACTGCTGAGGGGCTCTCCCATTCCCACGCACAATGCTTTTCATAGCCTGCATGAACGGTGAGTCAGGACACATCTGCAGCACGTCCACTGTTCTGTGGAGTTAACAGCGATGCTGCTGCGGGTGGGGAAAATGTCCGTGAAGAACACGAGTCCTCAGGCCTGTCAAAGAGCGCTTATAAACTGTGTCCTTATGTTTGCCACCCGCTGAGCCCTTTCAAGTGGTACTTTTTTGCAAACAAAAGAAAATTAATGCAAAGACAATTTCAGCAGAATTGTAAAGAGGATAAACTTTTTCTTTTAAATTTTTAGCTTGACTAGTCTTTAATGAAATGTATTTGATTTAACAATGGTATAGTGGCATGCAATATTCCTTACCACTGTTATGAAATAGCAGTTTGGAATCACAGCTTACTTTGTTCTTTCGGGAACAATATGAAAAGACTTCCATTTCCGGTTCTAAACCACTTGGCTGCCATCATTCCTTATCACATGATCTCTGTCCGTTTGATCTTCAAGATTGCTTTGTTAATTATATTTATAGCAACTTATCCTAAGGTATAAGGTATAGTTCATAAATGCTCTAAATAGCCTTAATGAATTTTAAAATGAAGGAAAATAATACTGAATCAGTTTTCAAATTGTTGTTCACATCAAACAATAGCCATGCTTTTCTTCAGTCAACACACAAATTAAGATACAAGGTAAATAAACTTTAAGAAGTGTGTGTGAGTCTGCACACTGCAGCATCCCTGCTTCTGTAGGCTCAGCTGCGGGAGAGCAGAAAAGCTCAGAAAAAGAGTAGCAGCGTTCACACTGGCAGAGATAGAGCCTCACGCACCCCTGCCTTTCTTCAGATAAGACCCGGAAAAGCTGATTATTCCAGCCCGTTTCCCCTCACTCTCTCTCTGCTGTGTAGGTGGAGGGTGAGGGGGTATATTTTTAGGCCCGAGCAGTGCTGTTATCTGACGTTGCCTTTTCAACACCACGGAGGAGAGGGTGGCCAGAGAAGCTACATGACCTTGCTACCCTCTCTGCAATTGCCTGCTATTGACGTGTTGTTTAGTATTTGTCTATTACACAAAATTGCTGATTAATAAACACAAATGACTGTGGATTTTTATATCTGAAATGCGTCTGCTATTTGGCCCTGTGTGCATTTTGTATGCAAGACAGAAGTAAACATAGTATGTGTGGAGAGACCTGAGAGATGCCTAAGCATCTCTTACTCATGTAAAGTGGATGCAGTTGGGCAGAGTCGGTTCCTCGCTTGTTCAGACATCTGCACACTTAGGCACAGCCGCTCGCTCTCATTCAAGCAAATTGGCCTATTCTTGCATTTAACATGGAGATATTGTCGATCAAGTGCTTTTGTATGTATCTGGACAAGTGAGCCGGAGTGTTTGGAGAGCACACTGCTCGCTAAGGGCGGCCAGCAAGAGTCAAATGGCTACCGGGGGCCAGAAAGTCCACATTTGTCCAGTAATGGAAATTTTGATCAAATATTATAAACAGCGAGTTGTTGAAATCTTCAGTGTGTCAAGTCAAAGCTGACCTTTCCTTTTATTCAGAGGGACATGGCTTAAATCATCCCTTTAAAAATAAAAAATGAATAAATATAAATTCCATCGCACTTTTTGACCCAATATTTCTGAAAACTGAAATAAAAGACTGAAAGAAACAATTATAATTTAGAAGCTGTGTTCACAGAACTAACCCAGCTCAATAATGATTAAATCTCTGTCAATTTGAGAAAGACTTTTCAGTATTTCTTCATTTAATTTAAACATTGAGGGCAGCTCAGAGGTCACGGCTGACCGCCATCTGTCCAGGCTGTAAAACGTGCATGTGGATGTGCACATGCCTGACAGTGGGTTGTAAAAGTAAAATAGGTGTGTAAACTTTTAACAACCTTTTCACCTTGTTTAAGCTCATTTGATCGAAGCTTCCTAACAGCCACTTGAACATTTTAAGCAGACACAAACCATGACAGGGTTTTACTGTTGTGAGGTTCCATTATGAGGGGCTCCTGCAGTCATCCTGAGGCACTAATAACTTGCCTGAGTATCCAGTTTTGTTTTGAAGAAAATATCTAGTCAGTAAAAAAAAACATACCTCAAATATTTGCTACATGGAATATTTCATCACTTTGGTAAGAATATGAGATTATTTCATAAACAGTGTCTCTGGTTTTCAGTTCATCATGACACCAAAACCACGTTATGAAATAGAGAAAAAAGAAAATTAGTAAAAGATCATTTGCAAGTTTGAAATTAATTTTGAGAAACTGGAGATGCATGTAATGCTCTTTTTTATTATTAATTATTATTCTGGCAGAAAAATACATATAAGAGCTAAAAATGATTCAATGTTTCAGGACAAAAACTGGTGCTGAAAACAAAAACGACAAAAAGTCGACGAAGTACCTAAAAAACTATAAAAAATGGATACACAAACACACCCCTGCATCTTTTGACACTTTAAAAAATCTGCATGCAGCCTCAAAATCCCGTCGAAGTGAATCAATAGATATAGCTATACACTTTTTCTTTCTTTCTTAGTTGTTTTGCTTTGTTTTACCATGTCCTAATGCCGTGTAGGGAAGACACTCCGTTGGGAGAGAACGTGTTCTGGACATTATTCAAGTCCCCGACCCCAAAATTCATGTAATTCCCGTTGTTGGAGGACCCGGTCTGCACCGGGGCCGCGGGGTAGCTGCAGGCGTAGTTCGTGTTGCAGCCGGGGCTGGCGTAGCCGCTGAACGCCGGGTAGTTGTTGTAGGCGAAGTGGTTGATGGGGGCCACGCCGTAGGAGGGGTTGTAGGCGGCCGCGTCCGCCGCCAGGCACGGCTTCCCGTCCCGCACCAGCACCGGCACCGACACGCGCCGCGGCGGGGGCAGGGACACCATCTCCAGGCTCTGGTCCTGCCGCTGCCGCTTGCACTTGTACCTCCGGTTCTGGAACCAGATCTTGACCTGCGTGGGGGTGAGTTTGAGCACCCCGGCCAGGTGGTCCCTCTCCGGGGCGGACAGGTAGCGCTGCTGCTTGAAGCGCCGCTCCAGCTCGTACACCTGCGCCTGGGAGAAGAGCACCCGCGGCTTCCTGCGCCTCCGAGGCCTGGGCCGGTCTGGATCCTCCTCGGGCTTTGCGTCCTCCACGGGCTCGACCACAACCCCGTAGTCCCCTGATAAAACCGAAGAGAGAAAACGAGGGATTTTACCCTTTTATATAAGAGCTTTTTGCACAACAATAATAACGAGGATATTTGATAAGTTTGGTGCCTTCACTCCAAGAGAGTTCATACCAGTGACGCGATTTAAATCAGCAGTGAATGGCTTTAAAATAATTTACATTTAACTAAATCAAGCGCGTCTTTAATAATTTTGCTTTAGTCATAAACATTGCTCAAATCTGACTAATCTGGGATTCGTTTTTCAGTCGGAGCGTCCGTTGCGTTGTGCGTAAATCAACGCGCCTGATTCTGCAGGCCTCATCGCGTCAAGGCCCAAGATTTTTCATTTTGACCTCTCGCCAGCTCACCTTTAGTTGTTTTTTCCTCAAACGCGCCTGATTTCCCACCCTTCTCCACATCCATCTCTGCGAGAGATTTGCCATAAAAGGCAGAAGCGAAGCTGAGCGCATGGCCTCTGCTGGGTTTGAACTCTTGGCTGTCCTCCGCGAACAGAGAGGCGGCGGCGGCGGACATGTCCCGGATAGACTCCTGCTTCAGGCGGGCCAGCATGCAGGAGGAAGAGGAGGAGGAGGATGCCGGCCCGGTGCAGCAGTCCATGCGAGGAGAAACGTCCAGAGAAGATACCATAACGTCGTGATTCTGCTCCAGGTTTAATATATCCTTTACGGAGAAGGGAGTGGACATGCTAGGGCTGGGAAACATTGCCAAGAGCTTCAAGGGGCAGAAAAGAAAAAACTATTAAGCTGTCATGAGGAGGCAACAAGAAAGATGTCAACAAACCTTCTTTCCTTCCTGGTATTTACTAGATTTAAGTATAAGTTTGGTGTACCGGGCTGATCTTGAGTGAAGTGTGCATTTTGAATGTCAACTCTGACTCCAAACTCACCCCCCCATACCCCCCCACACCCCCCACCCCTGTCCCCTCTCTCCTATGGGTGACGTAGAGAGGAGGAGGGAGAGGCCATGATCCACTGGTGGCGCTCCAAATGAATGACGTGGAGTGATGCGCGCAAGGCCTACATCTGTTCATTTACCGCTAATATACCCGTCTTACCGGTCCTGACCTCGTTAGTTGACCGGTGGAGGCATCTATCACCTGTCACACAGATTTAAAAAGTTGGATTTAAATTAACCTGATAGGCTTTGATTTACTACAGGTAGTTTCCAGGCCCCTTCCCAGAGTTTAAACAGATATTAATGCATCTTGTTAATGTCATATAGGTGGGAAAACTGCACAAAAGCCGCCAAGGGGCCAAACTTGATTATAAGAAGAGTTAACGAGTGTCATTATGTCCAGAAAGTCTGTGTTTTGGGCGTCGGGCCGTCCTTCATCCGAGGGGAAACACAGCAGACAAGCGTCGACAAAAAACAAAAAAAGGGGGATCAGACAGCAGGTTATAGGTCCCTGAACACGGAACCTGAAACCAGGAGCGACACACTCTGCTGTCTGCTTCCAAGAGATTCTGGAGCCGCTGTCTATCTTATCAGGATATGATAACAGAAGACAACAAATCCGCGCACACACACACACACACACACACACACACAATCACTCCCACCCACGCTGCAGGCCAGGTTTTCCTAAAAGACTGTCGTGTTGTTTACACTTTTTTTCTTAGACTATTAGAAACAAAGTCCCTGCACCAATTGATTGCATCTTTTTTTTTTTTTAAGTTCTTCCTTTTTGTAACAGTTCAGTCGCGTGGAAGCGCAAATATGCCCCATTTCTATTTACACGATTTCTGACAGTTGCAGTAAAACTAATAGCCTGTGTGCGTAATGGCGCATCGCCAGCACGCGTTTCCCCTCACACCGCTGGCCCTAAACCTGCCATTAATGCCTGCGGAGACGCTCTCAGGAGACAGACAGTATTATCGTTTGTTTTATCTTCAGCGTTTAGCGCGCAGCCACGGGGTAAATGGGTCCCCCTCTCTCCGACCCACCGATCCTGTTTATAGTTTTAAAGACTGGGCTATTTGTGCGCCCTGGGAGCTGATGAATGGCTCTGAAGTCTTTCTAAGCCAGTGAGAGTTAACACCGGCCGCGCTGCTTCTGAAATAATTGATTAAACGAAATAAACCCACAGTGGGGACCCAATGTGTTCATCCTGATTAACCTCTGATGCTTTTGCGCAAAAAGTTTTATTTTACCACCAAAAAAGGATTTTTTTAAGGAAATCATAATAATATCGGAATAAGCCAAACATATAGCAGTATCTAAATATTTTAACTGTAAATTGAACATGACAGGTCTGGCATGTGTTACATATCCTTAATGCCTGGCGCAGCAGCAGCCCGGAGCTCCCCTTTGACCTGTCTTTCTGCAGCACATCTCCAGCTCAGATAAAGCGTCAGATAAGGTAGCTTAAAAACTTCCGCTGCACGATCGTGTGGGTATTTTTAAGGGCTGCCTGTTGGAGTGAGGGCCCCCTCCTTCCATTTCTCTCGCTGCTGGCGTTCGACTCGGTGGGCTGCTCGTCTTCCCAGTGTCCTGCAGGCTTTTAGACCCATTAACAGCGTCAGGCAGAATTGGCCAGTTAACATATAATCCCATCAGTAATGGAAGTGATATACTTTCACCCCAAAACTGCGTCACTTTTGTAAAGGTCAGAAAGTTGCAGTGCAAATGAAGCAGACCCTTGCTTTATTTTCAAAACTTTGATTTAAAGCTAAAAGGGCTTTTCCTGCAGTTAGTCTGCATATCTGTCTGTAATTGAATTAACTTGAGATGCATCTTTCTTATTTTGATTTGACTGGAATTTTAAAATATTGACTTATTAAGTCAGGCTAAGGGAGAAAAAAAGCAAAGAATCCAAAGTTCAAGATTTCTAACAAATTTAACTAAGTTCTCCACACAAGTACACATAATTGTTTTAATTTCTTTATTTTTTGTTGAGAAGAAAAAATAGAAACATGGCTTGCATTGCTTAGGTATAAGTAAAATGTTACTCTCAGAATACACCATATCTGTTCATATTCAAATGAGAATTTACTCAGTTGTTTTTGTTAAGTAAACATATGTGTCAATAATGAGGATTTATGTAGCAATAAAATCACATAAATATAGCAAAGGTTGCGTTTTTCTTCAACAAATAATATGACACCAGCAGGTCATCATCACAGAATGACCTCAAAGATTTAGCTCCTTAAAAAAATATATAATGCTCACACGAATTATTCAATTAAAATTGAGAGTTTTCCCTTTTTGCAATCTGTAAATTAACCAACACAAACTCCACATGGTCCTTGAACACACCCTTTGTTTTGTTTTTGTGGCCTGAAACCTTTTGACCCTTTGAGACAAAGAAAGAAAGGAAGAAAGAAAGAAAGAAAGAAAGAAAGAAAGAAAGAAAGAAAGAAAGAAAGAAAGACAGAAATATGACTGAATGAAAAATGTAACAATTGCCACAGATTGATATGAAGTAAATCTTTTTAAAATTTTTATTTGAAAAATTCAGGTAAGTTTAGTCCCTAGCTCACCCTGAAGGTTTCGACTAAGAGGGCGAAGACAAAACCTTGAGTCATATAATTTAAATATTGGAAAAGTAATCGAGACCTTTTTATATTCAGAGAAAATTGATGCAAACGGGTCATTCTAAATGCGTAGTATTCAATAATATTCAAATGTTTGAATCCACAAGTGGTCCAATAACCTGTAGCTGACTGCTTTCTCTTTATGAGAGGTCCAGCAATTCTGGATTAAGACACAGTAAAAATGACCTCAGAAAGTTTTGAAAATAGATTTTCTATCTTCTGTTCTTGTCTAGAAATTATTGACGGATTTTGTCAAATTTACTTTACATTGACACAGAAAGTTCTTTATGTCAAACTGTTAGCAGCTCAACAAGACAAGTGAACAGTGGCAGATATAACATTTATTAGCAGATGGTGTCCCTAAGGCATGGATTCAGTTCCAATCAGGACACAGTTCTCTGACTTTGTGTGGCCCACCTGACCTGCAGCCTGGCGCAGTAAAAAAAAAAATTGTATCACCATCAGTTTTTCATTGTTCCTTTCAACAGTTCATCACATTACATTACATTTCTCAGAGGGCTTCTTTCCCGCTCATCTATCAGCGTATTGGTGATGCAGTCCAGTTTGCTTCCCGTCCAAGGTCAGGGCCTGTCTTCATCTCCCGCAGCCTGAATGCTTTTCACAGCACTGTTAGCAGGTGTGGGGATATCACAAACTGACTGCTGTGCAGATAGAACTGAAGTGGTGCGCTGGCCATTGGGTCAACACATGGAGCTTTGGCTTTGTTTCCCGTTCGGCCCTCCTTGATGAGCTGCAGTACCCCCACGTGGACGCCAAGGGGAAACACACACACTTAGATTTGGTTCATTGTAGCTCCGTCTGGTGTCAATCTGTTTATTTTAGAAGTTCAAAGTCCTGTAAAAGTCCCATTTTGGCAGATTGTGTAGGGGTTAGCCCTATCTCGTTTACGGACGGCGTGACTAGCAAGTCCCAAAGCCGCTGTAACTGGAAACTAAGTGAATGTGGCGTGGAGTGCCGTCTGTCTGGGCATCATATATCTTGTCTGTGAAGAAGGGAGCAGCATCTCTTTATCCTTCTCCATCCTTCGCCTTCACCCGCCCACCTCGCCATTCCCTCACACACACCCCGCAGGTCATGTTCAGAGGCTTGGCAAGACTTCACACGGCCGTCTGCCCAGTTCAAGGTGGTGTGAGGGCCCTCGGGGGACAAAAGAGGATGGATCTTACTCTGCGCCTAATTTAGTTTTGTCTACGGCCCTTCACAGCTGATGTTTGAGGTCAGTCGCGGGTTCGTGCGGTGAAGCCTCCAACACGAATGGATTATACAGGACAGGTTGCACTCTCTGCACATACGTAGATGGGAAAGCCACAATCCAGAAACTAATACGAGCAACAGCTGATGTTTTGTAATATCTGATGAAATCTTTGCCTTTTTCAATGGTTTTTCAATGGTTTAATAATACTTTTGCTTTTACATGTGAATTCTGTCAAATTGTATTTTTAGTCTATTAAGAGGTTTTCCCACTTTAGTTCTAACAGCTGCGCCTCCTGCGGCAGAGAAGTCTTGACTCATCTGTGGGGAATGAACAGATTAAAACTACATTTTTCATAAAAAAAGTTCCAGATTTCTTGCATAGCTGTTGACAGATCCTCATCCCTGGATGGACCCTTTACATGAATAACATTTATATATGTGTATATTTTCAATTGGATAGAAACACTCTTAGCTCTGTAGCCAGTTGCAGTACCACCATGAAAAACAGCAATATCATCTCGACTAATGGAAGGAGGAAAGGGTCCGACGTGTTACTTTCCCTTGGTAAATTTAGTGTAAAAATGCATAACTTCTATTTGTGCAGCTTGTTGTAGAGATTTTCCTATTTTCCTCAAGACGCAAATTTATATATTTCATTGGACAGGTGATGAAGTCCCACCATCATCTTTGTATTCAAGAGCAGAGAAATCTATTATAGTTATTGCCCTTTTTTTTCATTTTTAGCCCATTGTCACCTTTCCTTCAGCCAGTCGTTCAGTCTCTTCACAAACAACAACTCCTGTCTTGTCATTTTTAATCTCTTTCAATGCATATTCTGTGTTTATAAGCCATACTGCGTGAATTTTTCCCTTTCAAAACCCTCACATTTTGACAGTTCTTGCACAAAATCTTTTAGTTGCAGCCGACTGGACATAA